TTTCCTGAAACCCCCCCTCGAAGGAAATTGGGTTTAAAAGGGGATACCCCGCTTTAAAGGGTTTTTTTGTGCAAACCCCCCCCTTTTTTTCTTTCTTTTTTCCTTTTTCCCTTTTTTTCCCCCCCCCCCCCCCCCCTTCCTCTCTCTCACTCTCTCTCTCTCTCTCTCTGCTACGAAAGCGCCACTTGTTGAGCTATAAGTACCCATTCACGGCGAAAGAAATGACAAAATCTTCTTGACCGCCATTCATTCTTGGTAGAGAGAGAGTTTTCAAATCCTCAAAGCGTGGTCAACCTCCCTAAAGCCTTAAACCAGTTGGAGAGTTCGACCTCTGTTCGTTTCTGGACATTTCCAGGACACCAAAACGAGTGTATCTCTCGTAAATCCGTTTCTTCGGGCCCCCTGCCATGCTGTATTGCTGTTGATAGATGCACCCTTCCAAGAGAGCCATGCTTCTTGAGCCCAGCCAGGAACTGGTGGACTACGTCGTTGGTCGCTTTGACCCGGATCCCGACGCAGGTGACTGCACAGCCGATCACATCCCTACGATGCTGAGCGTTCCGAGACGTTGTTGCCCTGACGTTGTTGCCCTGACGTTGTTGCCCTGACGTTTTTCCGACGCTTTAGCCTGTTCCGTGAGAATCAAAGTGGCTCGGATCCCATCGAGCATAATTTTTCCAACAGATGCCGACTTTAGTTCCTTGTCCGAGTGGCTGGCGTTCGCTCCACATCATTCTCACTCATGGCTTTCCTGATGGGGTAACGCTACTCCTTACGCTAGATAAACATGCCGAGTTGACAAACGCTCGATGTTTCACGTCGTCTCGTCAGGTTTCTGGCATCTCAACGCCGGGCATCCTCCGACCTTCATTCCTTCGGTTGTTGAGCCTTGGCATCTATCTACGATGCTCAGACACATCTTCCGCCTCTCCGTCTGCAGCTCCAAAGACAGTCGGTGAGCTGACGCTTCACTGTTGGGGGGTTGGAGTGACTTCGACGGCGTGGGGGAAGGGAATAGGAGTTCACGTGACCGAGGGAGGCGAGCCAGGGTTTAGCACAAGGATCTGCCTTCGAGTGGTGGCGTAGGTGGCACCGTTGATACCAGCATTTGCTTACGTGCCGGCTCTCCGTGGGTGCGTTTGAAGTTGCGCAGATGACCCGCCAGTGTGCCTGAAAAGTGATTTCACTCATCCGTGTTGTTGCTAATCACCGAACGGCAACACTGGTTAGCACCAACGATCAACACTACCACCACTACCACCACGACAACAGTAATTGTTATACATACAGGCATTGAACCACCACTCACCAACAGTTTTGTCGTCTACTACCAACATACTACTACGACGACGTCGATACCAGCAACAGGAATGATATTGCATTGAAAACCCTCCTGAACTCTCGTTTCGTATTGCTGCCAGGGGTTGGTCGGCGCTGCACCAGGCATGTGTGGAGAACCATGTCTGTTCCCATGAGGAAACGATCCGGGTTCTTGTTCAACATCATCAGCTCAATCTCTTTCAGGTTTGAAATTAAATATTTACTCAATCGAAAGATACTGAAACAATTACGGTCCTCTTCTCCAACAGTTATTGCTCAATATTTACACGCTGAAGCTGCGAAGTTCTGCACGGAAACCTGGCAGGGTATCGCAATATATGGAACTAATGGGCGGTTCATTGCTCAAATACTCAAATATTCACATGTTGAAGCTGCGAAGTACTGCACGGAAACCTGCCAGGGTATCGAAGAGAAAATAACTAGTAAAGTCAGACAGCTGTCTAGCAATTCATCGCACGTTGAAGCTGTAACGAATTGCACGGAGGTCTGTCGGCGATTCGGCGAGTGAAACGAACATCCCACGAAAGGTTAGGCATAGAAGTGAAAATGGGTGCGAGGTCGAGCTCGAGATTGGCGTGAAGCACCATTGGGTAGCCAAGCACCCGTTGGCTTCCGTCCCCTCTATTGTATACCGTGTACGTGCCACGAGAAGTCTAGACATCTAAGTTTTCTTTGTGAAGGCTTTGCTCGGTCCCAATGAACGCAGGGGGTCAAATGGCGTAGACGTAGAGACGAAGCTTCAGCAGTATTCGTTTTTGCCGGTGGAGGGCTGTTTACGATGTGTTTGTGCCGCTCATTTCCTCCCACCCTGTGCCTTTCCACAACCGCTAGACCGACATGAACGGAAAGCTGGCGGTGGAGCTCCTCTTCAATTTCAGGGGGGGGAGACTGAACACGCCGTCCGGTTCCAGGGAGAAAGAGGGTCTCCTTATGGATCAAAGGAGAGATATCCTGGTAGAGGTGGGTTTCACATATAAGCAGGTGTTTGTCAGGATTCATTGTGATCGTAATCAACAAGTGTTTCACACAAGACAGCCCGATGTGTCGGGTCCCTTCTCGGGTTGCAATGCATTTGTTTTTTCGGGAACTGGCCACTCTGGCTGAGGGATTTTCTACGGAAAGCGTGTGACGGCGTACTGCGGGGCTCCCACAAACATGCCTAATACATGTACAGCATTGTACCTTGAACGGAGACGATAACTGAGGTACAATGCGCATGCATGAGGTAAAAATACCCTGCCTGCGCTCTTCGTAGGCCCGCAAGAACAAGGACGTGGAGGAGGAAGAAGAGAAGGAGAGGGGTAGGGTGGAGACGTTGCTCAAGATTCGCCAGAAGTCCGTCGACATGGAGCCCGAGTTGTGGCTGGCCGCCCAGGAGGCCAGCGTTCATCTGCGGACCTTGGGGGGATGGATGGAGTACCTGGATCCGGATACCATGAACCGCTTCTTCTATCAAAACGAGCTGGTGTTACGCGTGTCCGAGGATGACAGCAAGGGCAAGGTGAAGAACATTTTCAACGTGGTGGTTCATTTATTTGGTTATTTCCGTTGTTGTTTCTGCTATGATTTGACGTCGTTCCCTACTTGCCTGCTTGTTAATAGAATGGCCTAGAAACGTGGTCAGCACTAGCTGAAACTTGTCGGTTTGCAGGCATCACGCAACGCTTGTGGCTGGCAATAGAACTTCGATTTCCAGCATTCTTCTTTTTCCCCACGCGCTAATCCCAACTGACTCGGCGCATGTTTGAACAACTTGCAACCCAAGGCTTATCCGTGTCTACAGTTTCTATATAATTGACTACTGTGATGTTGGATGTGGCGTCATAAGTGAGTATGACCGCTACTGAATTAGGTGTCAGAAGGGGGACGGCCGAAGAGTAGCGGTCAAGCTGGCGGTGGACCAACCGACGACGAAGAAATGGGTGAGATATGCAATTTCTCAGCCAAACGTGCGATTTCTCCGCCAATAGAACAGGGAAACCTTTTCGCCCGTTTAAGGAAGATCAATTGCACTGCCGCAAAGAAAAATTGCTGTGCAGTCTAGAACTCAATGTATTGTTCCCTAATCATATTTACTACCATGAAATGCCACCCTTTTCCCCTACTCTCGCTGCAACGCCAGTTCAGATAGCCTCCTTCGGCAACAACGTGGCCTAGGTTTCATGTAAGAGACAAGGAGATCACAACATGTCATTCTCTTTCCCCTATCGACCGTCAGAGATTTCCCAAGAACGTCTTTCACTGGCGTGATTCACGGCCAAGATTTCAGGCCTTTCGTTCGCATGTGCTTGATTCCCAAATATGTGAAACGTTGGCCAAAAGCGGAGGAAGAAAGCGTGGACCACTTCCAGTGGGAAAAGCCGGAGGAGTTCGCTAAGTTTGAAGCGGTCTTGCTAGGATGGGCTTCCGTCATCAACAGCTCCGAGTTTCTGAGGACAACGGCGGGGAGGTGTGTACTTGCGCTGTATCTACTTGCTTGCTTCGAGTGACGTATGCTAAACAATATTAGAAGTGTTTCTGTACTATAGTCGCTGTGTGCTGGTTGATGATGTTGGTTTCTATGTAAGAAATCGTATTCGATCCCGAAGATATCTGTAGTACGTCAGAAGTTGTACATAGATTTCTCAACGAACATTCGTGTTTCGATTCTCGTGCGCATGTTCGAGGATAGCTTGGGGGATTGGTACGGTCCGGAGTGAAATTCTTGATATCTCATACACTTCACTCCATCTATCTCTCAAGCAGGTACAATTCCGTGCTAGACAGGGCATCGGGGGTGGTATTCTACGTGGACACCTCTGATGAGACCTGTCTGCTCATGCCCCCTCGAGAGGTAAGTCTGCAGTGGGCCTTCGACCACAGTGAGGGGACAGGCAGAGTGCTTGGCCAACACAGGGAGTGGGAGGTGCGAGTCGACAACGATGGCAATGAGTTCTACTGCATGGAAAAGATCGCTAAGGTTCGGAAGGGCCGCGTCGTCGAAGACGTGCTTACCAGGGACTTACGTTGGTGAGCGGCCGTGTCTGCTGCATACATGGAGTCTCAGTGAGGAAGGGGTGGAGGGCGGAAAAGGCAGAAACCATCGCATCATTCCTCGTTGTTTGTTTGGAATTGGCGCATGGTTTTGTACGAACCTCCCTCGCCCCGGAGGCGGGCATGACCTGCGGGCACCGGGGAGCGTCCGGTGGAAGCTGCGTCTTCAGGTAGATCCATCTCGTCGCCTGTGACGGAAGCATTCACTTGAAATAAACTGACTTACGGTTAATGCTTGAACCAGGATATTGATTGACGTCGATGAACTGATGCGTCGTCGTTATGGCAGGGACCGTCCAGTGGAAGCCGTTCCCCCCGTAGACCTAACGGCGGGTGACCACCCTATCTGCACTATGGACGTGAGTTGAACTTACACGTGCGGTACGGTGTGCATGTCCAAGGCTAGTTGCATTCCTGGTGGTCAGTGTGGTTGCGCGGTTGGTGTTGGTGTAGATAGCAATGGGACTGCTCGGAGTCGGAGTCATCGTGGTTGTAGTTGAAGTACTCGCGATGTTCAATTTTCTACCTTCACACAATCATGCGTTCGAAATCTACTGCTCCCATGTGGCTACCACTCCTACGGGCCGTTCACTACCCTCGGGCAGGTGGCTGGATACGAGCGTGCCGAGCAGCCGTGGTATATATGTCACGAGTGTGACGCAGATTGGAAGGCGAGTGTACCGTTTCACAAAGGTTGCGAAAGTCTTTCGGTTTTAGTGTCCATAGGTTTGTATCCGATACGTGATAGCGTTTTCGCAGAGAACACGGATTCAATGTAGTTGATGGCAGCACGTTTCGTACGGCAACCCTGATGGCATCACGACAACACGACCAATGGACACGTGTGCTCAATCATATACTGCTGGTGTGGACAAGTAAAGATAAGAAGAGGCTCGAAGCAAAAGCGACAAGGTAGTAGACATTTCATCATCCAAGAGAGTGAGTGCCGTTGCCGCTGACGAAAGTGCTCATTTGACATGAGGTAGACTGAACATGTGAACACCAACAAGACCTGCACCATGAGTTTCCGTTAGAGTGTTTAGTTTTATTTTCGCTTGCATACGTACGCAGGGAGACATGGAGATGTTCCGCGTCTGCGTGGCATGCGCTCGCAACTGCCACAAGGGCCGGCTCGGCCACCGGACTCGCTTCTGCAAGCTGTCCAACACCCGCTGTATGTGCTGCGAACGAGGAGAGGGTAGCTGCTTGTACTTCAGCAAGAAGGTGTGGGATATACAACGAAAAATGTGCTTGATGAAGATTCTTATCATCAGGGCTTGAAGGCAAGCCCGAACGATCTCGAGCCGCGTAAGAGACGAGAGTTTTGCAACATAGCAGAAATCTGTGAATAAATAGAGTATCCTGATCATCGTTTCTACGAACATGATGGCACCACAAGAATGACTGCGAGACGTACTAGCAGCTATCGCTAACCTTTGGCCTCTCTTTGCACGTTATCCAGGACGAGGTGGTCGCATCGTCGCAGGAAAAGCGATGCACCGCTACCGACGAAAAAGCGGCTCTGGACCTTGCGCGTGATCTGCGAGAAGTCTCCCCTCCGGTGCTGGCATATGTGCCCGATAGATGGCCAGACGGGAGAGCGAAGGGTGTCCGTGGATGGAAGGTGCTACGCCGAAACGTGTTACATTGCCGGAAAGAGTGCGTCGCGGAAGAGTCATCCAGTTTGCGGGAAGTTAAGGGGGTCACAGACAGGAAGGACCCTTTGGTAGTGCTGGTCGAAATATTCACTCTGAACACATTGTGTATTTGGAGAATGAAGCGTTGGTTGCCTTTGGGACAAGTCCCAGCTTGGATGAGTACCCTACGCCCTATTGCTTCAAAACAACTTGATGCAAATAGGCTTTCTCATTTCGAACTCAACGGTGGGTTTCTTGGTCGGCGTTTTCTGTAGATTTGGTAGTGACGGCGTTTTACAAGAGAGATGTGGACGGCGGGGACTTTGCCTGGGGTTTCTCGTTCGCAAATATTTAGCATCTTGCTCTGGGCCAATCAAACATACATGGGTGATCGACCGCCAGGCACCCGACGGGAGTGCAGCCAGTGCGGACATTCTCCCCACACCGAGGCCGTTGTTTTTGAACATGGAATTGTTGACTCCGCGCACTTTCATTTCTCTTTCCGCCCTGAAGATATGTCGCAGAAAAGCGGACACCCCAGTGGTGGAAGGCTGGATGGCGCTCCACGATCCGGAGCTACCTGACAGGTACAGGTTCTAAGACCAGTGGTGAATAGAACACATGGTATCATGCTGTTGGAGGAAGAGGGCGAGCTCATTGGTGAACAACCCACTGTCAATTGGTGTGTGTCCTCCCTCACGTCAAACGTACTGTGTCCCCACGGGTGGTGTGGTTCGATCATTTTATTTGCTTCACCCGCCCCGGATGGGTTTGTGCTGTCTGCTATTCTGACGTACCGAGCGGGGTGGTTGGTTTACCTATCCCGCAAGATTGCCGCTGGGATCGGAGGTTCGGCCACGCTGTGGCCGCGACGCGAGAGTGACTGTCGGACGTTCGGACGGGGCAGAGGCTGTTCAAAGGGCGAGCGATGCCATGATTACGAAGGCGAGACGAGGGCCAAAACGGTTTTTTTCCCGGAATGTTAACGTTCTTCGCGCTTTTCTCGCGTCTTGGGGGGGATTTTCAGGTGTCACTCACGTCAAAGCTGTCATCCATGTTCTCTGCGGACGCAGCTATGGTGTTTTGGTGCGTGATTCTGTGACTCGTTCCTCGTAGTACCAGCCGCGATCCATACCGGCCCGATTCGCGAAACGGACACCAACACAGGGTGTATTTTTCTGGAACCGAGGGTACGTGGTTAGAGCTCTCTCCGACGACTGGTACCTGGTCAGGATACATGGGCGGTCGGCCGGTACGGAGGAGTTCACGTTGCCGGACGAGCACGATTTACCCAAACCAGAACCTCTGGAATGGGAATTCCAGAAGGGCCGGCTGCATATGATGGGGACGCCACTGTTTTTCTTCCACGAAGATCGGTGAGTTGTTTTGCCTTCTGTGCCCGAGTGTTGAATTTTGGTTGGCGCCCATATTTGTTTTGCGACCCGTATATATTCTTCGTCGGGTGAGGACGGCTTGACCATGCAACGACAAGTTGCCATCCAAGAGATGCATCCGAACGAAGCAAACAGGTCCTGTAGCAAGACGGCTTGAGAGGCCTCAACCCGAGGATGTCGCGAAATTTTCCATCAGCGTCTGAGTGCTTGATATTCCAAGTATGATGAGAGATCGAGAAGGGCTGGTTATGCACTGCGGGAAACATTCGCCATTTCTTCTGCGGAACAAAATGAGAGTTTTCATGAGTTGCACTTGCTTGACGGTAAGCCCCCAGCAACACTCAAACGTCACGAAAAGTGCTGACTAAAGTCGTAAATTGTTGTTTCCGTCTGGCCAATGAGTTTTGTCGGAGTAGAAATTGTTCCTTGATTTTTGTGCCTGAACATACAAGTTCGTCGTTGTTTGCAACGAAAGCGGGGAAATATGATGTCTGACCTTCACCGACTGAGATCGGTATGGCTACAACGCAACATATATGAATGAACATTCATACCGGCGGGCTTGCCAACCATTATGTACCAGGAGAGAAGCACCTGAGACCCCCCACCAACGCAAAATATTATGTGAGTGAACACCAACACCGTGGGGCTTGCGCACCATTCTGTACCAGGAGAGAATGTACTTGGGACCCCCCACCAGAAGCCACCCTTACGAACCCGAGCTGGTCGACATTTTCTACAACGCTGGGGGGCGACGATGATCCAGTCACCTTAGATACTCCTCCATCTCAGGCAGCAGCTGCAGCACTAACCGCACCAATCGACGGGATGATCGCTGCCGACGAGGACCCTACAACAGAAGTCGCACCACGGGAAGGTGTTTCTTTGGGCGATGGTGACAAAGCACCGCATGATTCCGCCAGCAGTGCTCGTAAGGATGGGAACACCGCGGCGGCTGTGCCCTCAGCCGCGATCACTGGGGCAGTTGGTTCCACGGTTGCCGGGGAAAGCGCAATTGTTGAAGCCAGGGCTGGTTCTGATGTGTTCCCCCCAGGAGAAGGCTCGGCGGAAGTGCAGGTGTGGTGACAACGGCGAGCGAGCATAGTATCGCACCCCGCTGTGGTTGTCCTCCTCCCGCGCCTCGCCTTGACCCAACACATAATCGTCTGTGAGAGACCAACCTAGAATTGCAGGCACGAGACAGGCATCCGGTTCAGACTCACACGTTTGGCTTCTGAAATACGTTTTCTCAGCAGATATCAGGTCGTCCCGAGCTTCGGAAGACACTTGCTGGGCAAGTATCGTTCGTGACATTGTTGCGAGCGGATGTTGGTTCTGATTTGTGTTGTTCTGTCACGGACCGTGGCAATGATCATAATCCTGGCAATCGCGTTACGCAGACATTTCGATGCGGGTTTCCCACGCTGTGCCTGGATGAGTGGGAGAGGCTGAGGGCCTCGGCTAAAGTGGTGTGTATCCGGGGGCGCTACACCACCTACCTTGATAGGGAAACGGCTTCCCTCTTCTTCCACGACGAGGTCAGTCCTAGTGCTAAATAACTCCTTCAGGTCGTGGTGCATATTTTCATGGCCGTTTTTGTTGTCGTTTTGTTGTGGTGTACAGTGCCGCCGCAGCAGTTGGCACGTATGCATGCGCAAGCTCCTTAGGATTGGTATGGTTTCTAATGCGAGACATGACAACGATTTCTTAACGATAATGGTGATATTAGGTAGAAATGAGGCGTGCGGACGGTGTTCAGAAAGAGAACTATGATGGCAGCACTATGCACCGCCAATTGCGGTAGGGCAGATTTTGAGCTCGTGTTTCGACTCGCAAAGGTGGAAAATGTTACGAAACAGAACGTCAAAATGACATTCGCTTTGTGCGTTATCGTCGCACTCTAATCTACCTGGCTTTTTGCACACTCAGGTTGTGGCAACGCGAGATGGACATGTGCGGAAAGTGCAGCGCCTTTGGCGTCGGCGAGCGTGGCGAAAACAAAAGAGAGGGAGGAACAGTACGCAGAGCCACAAATCGAGACCTCATTACAGGCCTGTTCGGCCCACAACCGAAGCGTTTTCGTTCTGCCCACCGGAGGAGCTGAACGAGAGGATGATGCTTTGCACCGCCTGGGCGTATCTTCGCCGTGGTGGACTACTCGTGAGAGAGGTAAGCTGAATCTTTTGATGTAGTCTAGGTGTGTTGCTTTCTTGAATTCCGTCATAGCCGTCAAGATGCTCACCCCGTGAAAGGCATTTGTTGTTGGGTCATACACATTCTGTAGTAAGCGTGTCGGTACTCATGGCAACCTGTGAGAGGAAGAGTGATCATAGAAGCCTGCGGATTGTTGGAAAGCGATTTGATCATTTTCTCTTGGCGACCACCACCGTGCCTAGCTGATCGATATAATCGATTCCGTGGAAAAGTCCTCTCGAATACGACAATGGACAAAATGGTGAGCGTGGACCACCGGCCACGTGTCTGCCACAAGCTTGAAATCGCGTTCTACTCCTTCCACGACCCTATAACCGTCACATGAACGTGAGACACAGTCTGGACCCCTCTGAGGCACTTGACGCTCAGGCATATCATTTCGTGGTTTCGACAGGTGCGAGACAAGGACGACGATACATGGGAGGAGTATCAGGACTGCACAACGGGACTCCACTTCTTCTATTGCCCGGCTCTCATGAAGTCTCGCTTCCACCCACCAGACTTGCCCCCCCCAAGCTCGGAGCAAGGCATCGCAAAGGTGACAGTGAAGCTCTCTCGTTGTGACTATGTAGCATCATTGTACCAATATTCATAAATTGAGCGTCTATGGGGTAATGGCAACGGAAAGACTCGCAATGACATGTATCTAGACAACAACACAAGTCATTACTACGAACCGACTACTGATTACCTGAAATACTGAAGCTTCGATAATCGCCTTTTTTAGTTGCCGCCTGGGGCTCATCGCCTTTGTATTACCACTTGAGGGTTGACGGGGAGGGGGGTTATATTTCACTCATTATGAGCAGTTTCCGTCGATGCACACTCTCCAATTCAGTCCAGACTGAAGGAAGGGGACAGGGTCGCGTACAGATTTCGAGGTGACGCTGTCCAATCGACCGCCGAGGTTGTTCGTGTTCGTGAAATGCGAACGAAAACCGAAGCCGGAGACATGGTGTTGTCGATTCACTACGACGTGCAAGAGTGCCAGACACAGCTAGCGCCTTCGCAAGTGGGTGAGTCCTGCTGATGCTGTGGGAGCTACCAGACGACGTAGAGAGGAGTACTACGAAGGTCATGCAGGAAAGAAGCGACGATCTCGGTTGTCTCAAAAGCCCTTTGTGCACATCATGGCAGAATGGCATTTACAGTGGATCTGTCGTGGAGGTATAATGGGCATGTAAGCACTGCAGGGATGTCGGTGTGCCGACTCGGTAAGGGATATAATCTGTCGGGAGCAGAATCTTGGCGATACGCACGCAACAGAGGAGTATCCGTTCACACTGGACAGGGTACACCAAGTCGACGACGCTCATGGATTGCATATAAAGCTAGATTGAATCCTCTTGCAGCCACGAGGAAGCGGCCTTTGCGGCATGTTGGTGGGGGTGACAGTTCGCCAAGGCAGATCCTGTCGGACGGCACTGCTATCGGCAAGAGATGGCGTCATGTTGGTGGGACGACCAAGCCTTTCAACATTTCCTTTGCTCTTCAGGAACACGTCCTCTTTTTCGTGTCGTGGGATGGATGCAACAAGCCAAGAGCGGTCCAGACAAAGTCGAAACCTAGCCGCCAAACTCAGGTACTCACTGCCGTGCCAGCAGCAGCACTATTGGTGCCCGAGTCAACCTCCGGCCCCAATCTTCTTCGTGAATCACCCAGGGTCGTCGGGGGGAACGTCCGTCCTGTCAGCAACGTCGACGGCGCTCTCGGTGGAAGGATCAACCAGGACGGGCTCGACAGAGAACGGGGAAGGTTTAAGGACGGCGCGATGGGTGAAGCGGCAGCTCTTGACGAGAGCTCCGAAGACCGCAGAGGAAATTGCCCTTGACGACAAAGAGGTGGGACACAGAGCGACAGCCAGAAACCATTCCGTGGCGTGCCCCGGTATCGTTTGGAGATGTGTGAGCTGCTCTAGATGCCTACGTATGAGTCGGCATTTCAAGAAAACACGGCCCAACACCGCTCACCATGGTAGACCTCTGTGCATGCCGTTAATGTCCCTCGGTTGGGATAGACTGCGTGGAGACAGGAGCTCGTCGTGGCGAAGATGCGGCGAAAAAAAGAGCTCGACAAGAAAGCGGAAGAGCAGTACAAGGCTGAGCGACTCCGAAAGAGGTATGCACGTGATCGTGCGAATGGTGTACTCGACACGACGTGTTCTTCTCGCACGTTTCGTACGTTTCCTGCCGGTCGAGACATTTTTTTTCGTGAAGGTACAGGTGGTAGACACTTGGGGGTGTTTTACGGAGCGATGCTGCCAGCGAGTCGTTCGTGCAGGTCGTTGTGACTTCCGCAGTTATGAGTGCGCATCCTTAGCCTCGACCGTTTGGCGGTCCATTCCTTTCAACTTGGCCGCAGTCCATGATTTTCTCCGCATGAAGAAGTGTTGCTGCTCCGAAACTATGGTGTGAAAAAACCAGAGGGCCTGCCGGGGTAATGCTGGTGAGGAGGGAACGAGGCCGCACGGCTCTGCAGGTAGCGGAGAGGTCAGCGAAACGAGCCAAGGCCGAAAAGGCTTTGAGAGAAGAAGAGGCACGGCTGGCGCTAGTTGAAGCGCAGAAGGTGTGTGGTTGATGGTATCGGCGGCGGTCTCGGCCACCGTGTGGTTAGTTTTTGTTGTTGTTGTTGTTGTTGTTGTCATCGGGGTGTGGGAAAAGAAAAACAAAACCCTGGTCGGCGGGAGGCCAACATGGGCCAGGCCGACTTGTCACAACGAACAAATGGCCAGAATCCAGGAGGATGGCTCCAGACTACGCAGACGCAGGACTTCTCATGGAAATACCGAGAAAAAAACTGAGCACCACTTGTGCAACATGCTTGCGTGAAGAGGAGCGCAACTTGCAACCCGTGTAACTTCATCAACACGCAAAACATCCTTTGAGGTGTCATAACCCGTTCGTGCTCTGCGGGATTAGATTTTTCGTGAAACGGTGTTTTTCGCGTTCCCTGGAAAAAAACTAAAACAGGTCAGCCAAGAGCTTCAAGCCGCCAAGAGTCGACTCGCGAAGAAAAACAAGAAAAAACAGAAGCGAGGGATCGCCAATGGCACCGCCGCCAGCGCTGAGAGCAAGCTCCTCCATCCCACGCAGAAAGCACTCAAGCAGCAGCAAGAGGGAGGGAAACATAGGTCCACTGACCGAGAGAAAGGAGACACGTCCAAACACATGAACACCGCATCGGCCGACGCAGGGGCGGGGCCTTCAATTGTTCCCGCCATCACAAACGCCGGCGAGGGTGGTAGTGAAATGCACCGCGATGATATGGTGGTGCCCGTGGGGTTGGAGGGCAAGGGTGACGACGAGGTGAGAGCACGCGCGAACATTGTTTGGCGTGTAAGGCAGCCTTGTCTCCAGGGCCCGTGGGACGTGAGGTCCACGGCAAGTGGGGATTCTACTGCTGCTGCTCGCCAGATCAGAATCACGAGGAAAAAACAGCGGTAGTTGCAGGCACAGGCTCGAATGTTACGCGTGCAGCGTGATTTGCACGCAACAAGCGAACTACATTAGTTCCTATTTCTCAACCAAGCACACTCTGCAACCACGCATGTACACGCTGATGCCGTTGGTGCTGGTGAAAGTAACACGCGAAGAGACCATTGCGTTGAATGGGATATTGGTTATCTTCACGTACAGTAGAGGTTCCGGTTTAAGGTCGCCATGTGTCACGGCAGAACACTGGCCATAAACACGGCACCCGGCCTTATTCAGAGCATGAGGCACTTCGAATATTCCATCTGTGCCAAGGGATGCCAAGGGGTTTTTTCCGGCCTTTATCAGGGCAACCGGCCTTGAGTATGTAGCCATGAGCAGGGACCCCTACTGAAGCAGAAATATTCTATTCCAATTTCGCCTTGCGGACGCCTCCATCCGCTTCTCCTTCAGAACGAGCAACGCTTACCTACTTGACACTTGTCTGAGCAAGTTTTTCCATGGTTACAACTTGACAATTGGTAGTTGTAAGGGGTGCCAGCTCTTGTGCACGAATATGAAGCGCAATTGTCGATCGGGTTTTTTTCACGACGACCTTGCATTCCGCTTTCCCCCAGATGTCAAGGGCTTCCAACGTCATAGCGTTGCAAGCCTCGCTTCTCACACGCACCATGGTATCCCAGTACTAACTCCTCGCGGTGCGGTTCCCGTCGGTTTTATGATCGGTCCATCTAATTCCCGACCGAAAGCACTGATACATGCAAGGGGTCAGCACTGCGCATGGTCGACGACTGCCAATTTTGTCATAACCTTCGGAAGAGAAGCAATTGACGAACCCTGGGCTCCCCGAAACGGGAATTGGTTTCGTTCTTGTAGGTTTCTGACAGAATGATGGTGATGATGACGTGATTTCCAGGACAAACTCCAACGATATGAGCGCGTAGAGGACAGAATGGTGGTTTGGACGGAGAACCTGCGCGAGAACTTGAGAACCAGAGAGGATAAGGTTACGACCCCCAGGTACCATAGCCGGTTGTACGAAATTTAGCTCTTTCCAAAAAAAAAAAAACGGTTTTCGTCGTTCGGCTTGGAACGAACATATAACGAATGGATCTCCCTTCGGGCTCGAAAAATCGCGTTATTTTCCACACAATCGAATTTGTCGAAATTCATTAATTTATGGGCCCACGGAGGTGAGACGAGTGATATCCATTGAAAGCGACCATCATCCCTATCGCTGGTTGCTGGACAGCAGATTTATATGTTTTTTTTTTGCTTTTCTATCTGCACACTAGTGAACAATGTCCAGCACTTACTTCATCGTTTGAGCTGACTCACCCGATAACAGCTGAATTCCGTGACCAATGAACTTAGATTTTCCTGCACACGACGATGTCAGTAGTACATGCAGAAATTGATTGTGTAAGAATCCGACTGCGCTTGCAACGAAACTCCGTTAGGGCACGATATTGCTACCATTTAGCAGTGCTAGTCTTTCGGTGTGAGCAATGAGAAAGGTAGGAAGGGTACCCTTGCTTGTACGGCTATCCGATGTACTCTCTGTCGCTCCCTTGCTAAACGCGTGGGTTCGACTTCGCCCCCGCGTTGGCAGAACCATGAACCGGAGACGACTGATCCGCATGGTGCACATGGCCATGGTTCGACAGGCAGACGGATTCGTCGCGTGCGAATGGGGCTGCAGAGCATGGGTAATATGTCGGGCGCCTCTCATCAATATCTATCTGCGCTGTTTATCATGTAGCCCAACGTCACCAAGCTGAAAAACATGCGCACCCTAAAACTGCCGCGGAAACATGGACGGCAATGTAAAGCGGAGAGCTGCACTGTCGAGCGGTGTCACGTAGTCTGCGCGAGTACTCGTGCACCGCATCTATTGATGTTCGATTGAGGTCCGCTGCCTAGCAAGCACCTTTTTAAATGTGCATCAACAGGTCACACCAATCGTCGTAGTTCGCACAATAGATATCATGGTCGGCATAAGTGAAACCAGCGTGGCGATCACTACCGACGGACTTTACAAAGCAAAATGCCTGCTACGGCAACGAACGTTTCGCTCGCGCAGGTCCGTCTGGGCCAGGAGAAGTTTTTTCATGAAACGGAGCAGTGCTGCAAAAGAATACTGCCGTGCGAGTTGGGCTGCGGCCTAAGGTGAATACGAGAACTATAACACATCTTACACGGAACGAATCCAGCGAGAGGATGGGTTGGTTTGGTTCTTAGGCTGGGGAAACAACGGTTGTATTTCGGGTTTGAATCAATGTCGCTGGTCGGATATTGCTGGGGAGTGCAAACAGGAGGTGAACCCGGCGTGTTCCGTGGTGATGTTGTTGAGCACCCACCGTCTCTCGAAAGGTTGTTCGTCAACTACTCGTAGTTATGGTTTGCGAAGGGAGCGTGCATCTCATACATACCGAGCGCGATACTTGATCACAAAGAAATCGTACGGAGTTTTGTTTTCGTATCTTCGTATATATCGCGACGTATTGACAGGATGAGGGAGGAAGAATGGCTCAGCCCAAGTTTGGTGAACCCTGCTGTGACCTGCCAGCAGCACCACGAGGAATCAGAGTGTCCGAGACGGCCAGTACCGTGTGGACAAAGGTGAATATTGAAACCGTAGTACCACAAAATCGGCCCTTGTTGTCACGGACTTCAAAACGAACATGGGTTGTACTAAGGCGAGCCGAGATGCCTGAACGGTACCATGGTATTTGGTACCAGTAGCTTCGAAGAGGTGTTGATTTGAGCTTCCTGTGACGAGATGCGAATGATTTTTCGGGAACGCATTTATTCAAACGACGTCGGCAAAGAAAATGTTGATAAAAATTAGGGGTTTCGAGGGGTGAAAAATGACTGGGCACCAGAGGTATATTCCCAAGTTTGGTGAAAACTTGGGTCGCCCATATTGATCAAAGCACATTTCCCCTGGGAAAGTACGGGTCTGCCACATTAGCAGCCGTGTAAGGCATCGTAGTCGCTAACCCCATCTTTGTTTGGATTCTAGCGCTGCTTTTCAAAACCCTCAACAAGAAGAGATATGGTGGTCTCTCTACTGCTAGCAGTTTGTTCGACCTCGCGCTGTGTCTGAAGTCGTTCGGTGCACTCTCCGTTGGAATGCCTGCTTTGTGACTCCTGTTCACGGTTCTGTGATTGTGGGTGGCATCAGGTGCGGCGAGTGGCTTCCCTTTGAGGACCTCATGAAGCACATGAAGGTCTCGTGCGTCAAGAGGCCCTTCCCTCCCGTCAAGTGTCGCCTTGGCTGCGGGGAGAAATTCCATGGAGGGCTTCATAGGATGCTCCAGGTAAAGATGACACAGACATGGACACCTGTAAACGTTTCTCCATGCCTGCATCGCGGATCAAGTAGCAGACCGATGCCAAGCACGAAGGAGGATTGCGTTGGAATTTCCACGAGCAAGAGGCAGGGGGAAATGGAACCAAAACTGTCTAAGGGCTTCGTGATCCCAACCACTACAGGGCTGAGGGAGACAGACGGAGAGACTATATGAAGAGGGAGACAGAGAGACAGAGAGAAAGGGAGAAACAGAAGAGACAGACAAAGACAGAGGTTGTTGTGCAGAAACACGCCACCTCTCGACCTCGGCACTCGCGGCGCCTTCGGTATTGTACCGGTCTTCGGAAATACACTGGAAACCGGTACACAACTGCGCTCCGGCCAACGGAGCAAAGTTCTCTATCTGGCTCACGGTGCCGCTGTTTCGGGTCCCTCCCGCGTCAACACTACAGCAGTCAACGACTCACTGACAGAGAAACATTTTGCGCCGGCTGTTGGAATGAGTTCCGTGAAAACCTCGAATTTCCGCATGGTCTCTTGGTGGCCACGACTCCCTACTACTAATCGATTGCCCACAAGCGGGCTAGCTCCTTTACGAGGCACCGAATCGAAAAAACAATAGCCATTGAGGTGCATGTGTTCCAACGTTTGTGAGTGACTGGCTGCGGACATTCCATGTACGCGTGCAGTCCGAGGAGGAGCGCATCGACCACGAACACGAGCTATGCCCGCACCGCTTGCTGCACTGCGTGTGGGCGGGCTGCGAGGAGATGGTGATGGCCAAAGACCGGAGAAGTCACAGCGAAGAGCACGTTGTCAGGACCGGCGTGTTTCTCTACACTGTCCCCGGGAAGTACACCTTCAAGGTGCGGCGAGAGTTTTTCCAAACAGGCTATGTGCGGGGTGCAACATTGCGGAGGATATCAGTAGTCCGGCGTCGTTTTCTTTTGGGACTTCTGTCGGGATAGGCGTTCCATTGCACAACTTGTTCGCCAGAGTTTGGGGTAGAGGACTGGCATCGACCACGTCTCCCATCCAAGCTGCCTATAGAGTTCTTACACAATCCCTCACCCTGCCGCCACTAAAACACAAAACCACCCCACGAAACCTAGCATTCCACAAGGCTCAATTGTGTTGTAACACTCGTGCAGGTGCCCCACGGGTGCCGGAGCCTGAAGGTCCAGGCCTGGGGCGCCGGCGGGGGCGCCGGGCACTTCAAGGGGGGGCAGTCCGGGGATGGCGGGGGTGGAGCTTTCGCGGAGGCCCTGCTGTACGCCACCCCAGATGACGAGCTCGAGGTACGCCGATAAAACGCTAGATATGATAGTACCCTCTCCTCCCGATACAGGACACGAAATTCTTGTCCTGATGTTGGCTGGAACCACGATCCCAGTGCTTTCCCGGACTTCAGAAGCAACGTTGGTGTTGAGCGAGCCGGGGGGCTGGCACTGTTCTTCTCGAGATCAGGCCAACCTTTGGTGGACACCTCCATAATTGGTGACAGCTTGCCCCTTTACGCCACCCTCAGCACATATTTGCAGCTCTCGCCCAAGACGCACAGGGAAGCACACGAGAAGAAATTCGGTCTACCACATGCTAATTCCAAACGTGCAAAAAACGTCTCGGCCATCATCACCTATACGGTAACTCGTAACTAGCTACCATCGGAACAAGTTTTGAGTGAAACCGCCTGCTTTCTTCACAGGTCACCGTCGGAGGCGGGGGGGCGGCGGGGGAATACGGGAGCGAGATAGAGGTGCCCGGGGGGTTCGATGACTTTGGGAAGGCCGTCTTTGACATGGTCGATCAGCACGGGTGAGGGCGCGCGTGAGATTTTCGATGCATGTGCTACACAGAACCGTTCTTGCTACGGGTAGCATTTCCTCTTCATGTTGTTGTCACACGTAACTGGTGGGTAGTCATGCGCGCGTTGTGACAACGAGCCGTGTGCCATACATTCCCAGGACTTTCGACGAGTCCGTCACCCCGCACCCCCTTCGGCACAAACCGTTTGGTGCACACTTCACCCCGTACGGTGTGACTTCGCTCGCTTCCAATCTGAAAAAGAGGCAACTAACTGAGTCGACGTGCCAGCGCACCCTGTTCGCAAAACAACGGACCCCCTGCCTTTTTTCAGAGAACAGTAACTTCCGTAGCGCGCCTTTTCAGAGGCAGGGCGACTCACCAGCCAGCACGTCTATGTCGAGGATAGCTACCCCATCCAAATTGCGAGGGTTGCATGTTGCGGTAGTCCGCTGAAACGCTGTCCATTCCTGCCGCTCGTCGCTGTTTGATTTGATATCCCGGGTCTCAGTGTGGCCGAAGGCGGTTGGCCGGGGGGCGGATCCGGTCACGGTGGGAACCCGCACTGGGCAGCGGGCGGCGGAGGCGGGTGTTCCATGGTTGCGAAAAAGGCATGTGTGGTTGGCCATAAGGATTGCGCTTGAAACACGTGGAGAAAATTTTCAAAAGAATATTTGTTAGGGAATACTGTTCGTCAAGAGAGGAACGCTTGCGACCCTTGCACATGAAGAGACGTTCAGTGAAAGGCAGTGTCCAACACAGCAGTTCCAGTTTGATTCCTGTGCTGACGTGAGACAAAGGAGCACAGAATAAATTGTGCGCATGTGCATGTGCCACGTGTATACGCGTTTGTGTGTTGCGCCACTCATGTTGATCACATCGGCCCCGTACCTCGACACAGATAAGCTCGTACGGGGGAGGGCGGACAGAACCCCTGGTTGTTGCGGGAGCCGGAGGAGGGGGGGGATCGAGAGAGGGCGTCCCCGGGGGGGGACTAAACGGAGAGATCCCCGGAACAAAGGTGGGTCGTCTGCCCTCGCTTTGGGTTTGTCATGAGTTGTTTTGAGCGTGACGGATACTTGTATGTACTGGAGCGCCGGCGCCCCACGTCACCTTCCCGGTTAACACACGAAAAAGGTACACTGGGTCTCTTATCCACCATCATCGTTGATTTTCCGCCTCCCTCTTTCGCCCGCTTCTTCTTCTTTATCCCCGTCCATCGCCGCAGATGGACATGAGGAACGGCCGAATGGGAACAGCTACCTGCGGTGGGGAAGCGGGAGACAGCGGGGATATCAACGGGTGTACCTTCCCGCCAGAGCACGGCCAAGCTTGGGCCGGCGGCAACGGGGGGCAATACGGTGGCGGGGGCGGCTCCGGGTATGTATGTTATCGGCTCCATTATCTTCATATTACGTCCCATCTATTGCCACAGCCTGCAGTCTCTTCCGGTCCTACGATTATTTTTATCGCCAGGCGTAGCTCCTATAGTACAACTATATGAGGGCATAGAAAGAGCTGTGTGGTGCATGTTGGCACTCCGATAAATGCCGATCAACCTGGCGAAGGGTACGCGGTGCACTTGCGAACGTATCGTAACGGCTTCCCCTAGCCCCTGCAGCGGCGAGACTCTGCTCATGAAGAGTGGTTCATGGAATAAACACGATTCCTGCATAGGTTTTCATGAATGCAAATGTAGTCGAAAGAGCACGCTTCACGCAGATCTCTCTCGCTTTGCACAACGAACGAGGCTGCGCTTCACACATCTGAATGACCGTATTTTCGAGTGAACTTCAGTTGTTCTTGAATGCACCGGAACTCTCCAAGACCCGTATTGTGTTCCCGGCATGCCAACTTGCCAGGTGGTTCGGAGGGGGAGGTGGAGGGACGTCCCCGGGGATTGTCGGAGGTGGTGGCGGGGGCTCGTGTTTCGTCAATACCGCATTCTCTATGGACCTGGTGGTTCTCCAAGGGATAGGGCGAATCCCAGGTGTGTACGACCCCGGTGAAGATGAGCTAAATCGGTCATGAAACGCTTTGGAGTGTCACGAACCCATCCAAGGCGCGTATAAAACGCCATGGTCCCGCACTGTAGGCCCGAACATACCCAAATCTGTGTTGATCCACGAATTATAGGAAGGTAAACAGAACAGTATCGGTATTTTCAACCGAAATTGGACGCTCAATGGGGCTGCCGTCGTTGTTCCAACAACATGCAGCGACGGCCTGCATCCTCGCCCGCCAACTACAAACGGCGACGCCATCGAAATTAACTCGGTGGAAGTAACACTGAGAAACGAGCCTCGGGAACATATGAGGTCCTTAGGTGATGCCTTCTGTATTGGTGAAACGACAATAAAACTTGGATTTGGCTTCCCACCATGGCTCAACACCCAGCCGTTGCCGTTTTTAACCTTCAGTGAGCGTTTCTACCGTTCCGTCTTTGTTCCTGTGGGCGCGCGACTCCAACTTGGGCCCGCTTCATACGGAAGTAGTCTTCCCCGAAACCCGAAGCCTGTCCCGTACGCCCCACTAGCGCGATACCTTTGTGATGTCAAGTACTGAAGGCCACGAACGGCCTGCGAAGGTCTCCCATCAAAGCCGGAGGCCCGCGATTCTTGCCAACATTCACTGTTTTCCCCGCATCCTGTGTTTCAGGTGGAACCGATAAAACGCCGCCTCGCGCGAGAGGTTTTGCGGAGGATGACATTATAGGAGGAATCTGTGGAGAAGGGGGTAAGGGAGGGCCGCGGGAGCTCAGGCCTGGAAGCAACGGCGCGGTAAGGTAAGAGTTCCAAGGGCAACTGATGTGGTGGTGCAATGAAGGGGAAGATCCAACAACAAGACTTCCAAGCAAATCTAGCAGTTGAGAGGAGCCGTCTAATAACTTCTCTGCGCCATGTCCAACGGCGGCACCTTGCCATAGGGAGGGGACTAGATCTCGACACGAAAACCCCGTGCATGCCGGAGAGAGACCCGAAAGTGGTAGGTGGACCCTGTAGTCGTGCACGCTGTGATGTAGGGCTTCAGAAGACGAGTGAAAATTCTACATATCGAATTGGTGTAAAATGCTGTTGAGACGATTTCGATAAGGTTTTTGCTGGTGAGCTCTTACAAGTGCTCTTTCGAGTCTCACACGTTCCGCACCGAAACCTATAAGCAGCAGTTGGAGGAGGCACAATGCGCCGTCCGTAGTCCTTCAAAGAAGGTTTCTCGTGGGGTGGACTGTTTTTCGCCGATTGTGGTGTGTAGTGCAAATGTCCAAACGATTTACACGCATGCATGGCCAGGAAACAAGTGAATTCATCCCCTCCCTGCGTGCGTTGGTTCAGAATCCATAAGACGGGGTTCTTTGAGAAGCAGCTCGCACACAACTGAGCCGGTGGGCGTGCTTCACGAAGGGCCCAGAAAGAGAGACCGTCCGATCTAGGATGAAACACGAGAACCAACGCTCACGATCGGTGGAGGCCTCACACACCCGTAAGAGGAATGTGGTGGCAACAACGTGGTGGAAATCGACACAGCACACCCCTTGCTTTGTTCACGGTTTTTTCAAGGTGGTTTGTGGGAACAGCAATTGATTGGCAATGGTACCTCCCTTCTAAAGAAAGAATGAATGTGGGAGTGTTGGCAAGAATTGATGTCCCCCGTTTTATCACACACCTTGATTGCGGGCTCCGTCAGCGCGTGCACTTTATCGCACCGGTGACACAAGACACCACACCGGCTGTAAGACCCTACGTGAACCGTTCCTATCACCTGGGTGTGCTGTCGTCGGTACATGGTCGTCCTGTTACAGCGAACGACCGCTCGCTGAAGGATGCAACAAGAATCAAAGTACGCATGACGTGTACTCAGGGATTGATTTATTTTTGTGCAATGAAATCTTCACCTTGTCTGTGCTCTCTACATCATCAGTCGCAAGGCGATCGTGTCCATCCGTGCCTGTCGCTTTCATGGCAATACCGTCGGTCGTCGGCAATATACGCCGCCACGAGAATCTCCTAAAGGGTTAGCAGGCACACGCTTCCTTGTGGTCGAGGCAAGCTGCGTAGCCAATGAAAATATATTTACGAAGCTCCCATATGTGATCAGATCATTCGAGCACACCCGACATGAGGTCACATGGTAAGGCCACAAAGGTACATACTGCGGTTCGTTCGGAACGCTCGCCTTCGTTCAAGCACTATGTTCCCATGGATTATCGTATTCATACGCCACCAAAATGAAATCCCCCTTGAGTAGATCGGTTCCTCATGAGTGCGAATACAGTTAGCGCCCGCCTCCAATTTTGGCGAAGGCTGGGGTTCCTAGATTTTTCGTGGTCATTCGACGAATGGCAACTACATAAAAGAAGGTTCTACATTATAATAGTGTAGGGAGCTCACGAATTGTGCTCAAGTTGTTATGTAGATTAATTATTTGGCTGCCAAGTTCTTGTTTGCAGGCGCCTACTCTTCTTTTTGATACCATATGAGCTAAAGTATAGAATTGGCCCTTCGAGACTCCACGAGGGACAAGCAATAACATTTTTTGTTCAATCAGATCCCACGCCATGCCATCGTGCGATGATCGATGTGTGAGTTTTCGCGTTGTGGTCCTTGTGATCATGTGATCGATGTGTGATTCGCAGACGAACTGTTTCTGTATAGACTACTGTAATGGTATTTGACCCCTTCCTTCAGAATCAATCACCTTTCTTTGAGCTGTGTGGAACTCTTTGTCCGACCACAGTAGCAGGTTGTTGTTGCTTTCCGTTGTTCTCATTCTCTTGATTAACGCTTTCCAAGCCAACTCACAATATCCCGCGCACACACGATCATAGATCGTCTGTACGCACACACTGAACAGAAGGGCACATGTCTCGGCATAAAGCCCTGATCTAGCATGACGTCACGTCTTAGCATCCGACGGTGCCAAATAACCATGATCAACCACGATCACATGTCTACCTCCAAATACCATAACAATAGCCCACCCTGAGTGGACGTAGATGCAGATACAGAAGCAACCCTCGGAGGGACTCTAGTCAATCAAGAGGATTGCGGAATGGATCGAAGATACGACAACTCAAAACCCTCACCCGCACCTCTCCGTTAACCAAACCGAAGTGAAGAAGCGGAACTAAGAAAGAAGAAAACAAAGTGTGTCATACTAAAAAAAAAAAAAAAAAGAAGCCGGGGGCGGCAAACTCGTCGGAAAAAATCGGAAAAAGGCACATGGGTGCGAAAAATAACCAAAACATCCGAACCGAAAAGACCATAACACGAAGTAACGAAATCGTGAAGAGAAAATCACAAACGATCTCGCACGAATGAACCGATCGAATACGCAATCAAGTAAGCCAGAACCTTACGGGAAGGGGGGCTACGATGCGATCTAGTGCTGAAATGTACACATAAAGAATAAGAAACGAAATCCGAGCCTACAAAGGATCAAACGACATGGAAAACCGTTAGGGGTCGACCAAAATCGAGAAAAGCAGGGAAAGAGGGGGTTTCCGGGGAACGTAAACAACGGCCAACGAAAAGGACAGGAACCAACGTCAAAAACAACGTTCGCATGTCACGCAAAGTGGTTGTGATCGGGGTGGGGCGAGGAAAACAATCCTACTTGTACGTCAAGGACAATTCTATGAAGAAAAATGCTAAAGAAAGTAGCAAGATGGAACGCGTTGGCCGTGGCATGCAATAGAAGCACTGGCGGAACGTTGGACCACAAAATATGCAAAGCAAACCATAGGGGGGGGAGTTAAACGATGCACCAAAATTGGGTGTCACCGCAACTAATGACGAACCTAGGTCGCATTGAAAAATAGGAAAAGGGGAGCGAAAACTTTCGACAACCGATCGAGAAGTGACAAACGGGGCAAGAGAGTACGCAACACAAAAGCAAGAGCCAGTCTCAAATAGATTGAGAGGGCGAGCGGAAAGCATAAAGGAGCATTAGCCAGTCTCAAAATATACGAGAGGGCGAGCTAGAAACATACAGAAGCAATAGCCAGTCTCAAAAATAGATCGAGAGGGCGAGCTAGAAACATACAGAAGCAATAGCCAGTCTCGAAAATAGATCGAGAGGGCGAGCTAGAAACATACAGACAAACGTATATAAACACAAACATGTAACACACAAACATATACACATACATATACATACACATAAAGCAAGGACAACAGTCCCATCAGGCATCTATAGCCGTACCACGCGATTCGTCTACATTCGCAAGATACCTCGCATGAAGGGACTGCTTCGGTGCAGCTGAAGGCACCAAGAACCACAAACAGCTCCCAAAGCTGTTGTGTAGCGCGAAGGGGAGAGGGTGATCTTGACAGGTCCAGAGTCATCCAGGAAGCGAACGAAGAAGACGTTTGTAGTTGGAGTGTGTCCGGAGATTTTCCCTAGCCACCATAGAGCGTCTTGAGCCTTGTACCAGACGTGTGCGCCAACAGGCAGCACGGTGTTGCGAAAACGGCGGGCCCAAACATGGCGGGGAACATATTCGTACCCAGGCGACGAGGACCGCTCGCCTTTGATGCGAGACAGTTCACATTCCGCTGCGCCAATGCGCATGCGACGATACAGACGGTTAGTCTGCCGGTGTTGGTTGGGTGTACCAGCCCAATACAGAAGAATCTGTTTTCGGGAGTGTTGGAGGCCCATTTCTCGTTCCCACGATGGGCGCATGAGTCCAGTGGGTTTCGTACATGACTGCGATGACGCCGCCACGTCCCCGAACCGACTGGTGTCCCGTGATTTTCTCAACCTCGAGCCTACGGACAGGCGCCGAAACATCGTCCGCGGTAACATGGTACGGCGGAGACTTCGTCGTGTAGTTGTTGGAAACATACTGCGTGAGGCCTGCAGGCAAGAACCGGGGCATGTCGTCACTATCGTGTGGGTTCGCACACGGTTTGCAACAAGCGACAGAAACTCGGTGCTTGCATCCACTCCGGGCATATCGGAGGGAAGATCCAAGAACAGGAGCTTGTCAGCCACCGGGCTGCCATCGGGAGCCTTGTTACAAGGACCGACTGCTAGGATTTTAAAAGGACCTGTCCAATTCAAGGACAGCTTCTTCTTGAGTACCTGGGAGTCAGCGTCTGCGCGGGCCTTGGAAGTGAGTTTGGCACCTTGGCGGATAGTAGCCACATGGGTTTAGACCCACACCCAACCACCGGTAGCGTAAACGGGTAGTTTGTGTAAGGCATCAGACAGTTTCGAGTTCCGTCTTTCCATACGGGAAACTGTGAGTGCGTGTTGTTCACGCACTAGCTCGTAGGAGCGCCGTTGCCGATCGGCGGCAAGGTTGCAATACTCGAGCTGATCGCGGGCAAGCGACTGGTGACCACGAGCGTAAATGTTGTCAAAAACGGTCAGTGGAAACCTGGGAAGGCGCGCCATATGCACCTCATTGGGCGCCAATCCTGTGGCAGCGCTAACGGAGTTGTTGTACGCGAATTCGACATGAGGGAGATGAATGTCCCAATCATCTTGTCGTTCGTTCACAACCATAGCCAGCATCTGGGCCATGGTGTGGTTCACGCGCTCAACTCCTCCGTTGCCGCTAGGGTGGTCGCGCTCGTCGTAACTTTCCGGACGCGCAGCAATTTTAGGATGGCAACCGACAGTTTGGAGCAAAACTGCAATCCATTGTCAGAAAGAATGCTGAGGGGGCATCCCCAAACAGGCATGTATTTATTGACAAGGTCGTCAGCTGTACCTTCAGCTGTGAACTCGGCGTCAGTCACTGCGTACATATTGGCTCTCCGACTGAAACGGTCAGTGAATAGCAAAATATACGAGAAACCTCACGGAGTTGTGGGAAGCGGACCAAAATAGTCGACGCTAATCGCGACCCCGGGTGCCGAAGGCAGAGGGATCGTGAGAATCGGCCAGCGAATAGCCTGGCGCGCAGTTTTGCGGGCCTGACATTTCAAACATCGCCGAATCCACCAACGAGTACTGATACTCATCCCAATCCACCAGTAAAACCTCTCAAGCAAGCTAAGCGTGCGAGCGGTACCAAGGTGGCAGAGGGCGTTGGCATGACAAGCTTGCATGACCCAAGGTCGCATTAACACGGGCACGTAAATACGAGTGGATTCGTCATTCAACAGGCGTGCAGCTCGTCCTCCGGGACGGTCAGAAGAGACCGGGGGCCTAGTATTCTTTCGTACCAAGAGGCAAAGGCCATCGGCAGTGACGAGGCGTCCTTTATCTGCAAGCTCTCGAATATCCTCCAACAATGGTCTATGCCTGGAGTGATATGACACTCGGGCAAAGAAATCGATAGGTAGACTCTGAGGGCGTTTGAGGAGAATGTAGCGGATGGTGGCTTCACACACCGGCTCTTTCTGCTGTTCCCGCGCCCAATCGGT